GGGGGCCGCGGGTGACGTCAGCCGCACCGCTCCACGCCCCCCTCTCGCCCAGTCCCGGGTGACCCCCGCCCACCCGCCCGCCCACGTCCTGGGCGTCAAGAACCGGATTTCTAGGACCCCAGGCTCCCCCCAGCCCGGCCCTCCTATCTGGAATCAGCTGCCCGACCCCGCCCCTCGGGACTTAGGATGCGCACTTGTTGCAGTCCCTGCAAGGCCAGGGATGGCGGGACTTCTACTCAGGACCTCCAGAAAATGGCCCACGGCTGGCAGCAGGGACTCGGGGGCTTTCCAGGCTCTCCCTCAACTTGGTCCCATCCCAGGCACTGCTCCAGTCTGTGACCTAGAGGAGCAGTGCCTACCTTCCCCCTCCCCCCCGCCCCCCCCTCCCGGGCAGAGTGGGGGACAGGGGCAGTGTCCCCTGGAAGGGGTTGCACTTATGCTCCCGTGGGCTGCTGCTGCACAGCCGGCGATGTGGGTGCTAGCAGTCTGGCTGGAAGATCGGGACTCCTGGCGAGTCTAGGCCTGCACTGGTGCCACCATCCCACCTGGGCTCCAAGGGCTTTGCCGCCCTGGGGCCAGGGACCAAGGGACAGGATCACAACCCAGCGCTGGGCTCTGCAGGGGCCTCCCCAACTCTACTCTGGGTCCCAAGTGACTTTCCACTGGCCCCCTGCAGCCTGTATCTTCTTGTGACACACAGGGTCAGGTAGGATCTCTGGGACCTCTGCCCGCATGTGTAGAGCAAGAGGCAAACTGCAGGAAGCACAGGGCCTCAATTTCCACTGCTCTTGGGCCCCTGCAGCTCAACCAGACTTGGTACATGCACTGCCCTCTTCTCCCTGACGATAGTGTGGGGGTCCAGTCTCCATCTGTCTGGCCTCCTCAGCAACCCACAGGTCCCGGGCCTTTGCCTAGCTGCCTGGGCTAGTAGGCACGGCAGCAACAGAGTGCCAGTGCCCCCTAGGCTGAAAGGGGCCTTGGGTCCCTACCTTGGGTCACACTACCCCGACTCGGACATCTTCCAGTAGGCCTGCGCCATGTGTGCAGCCCCTCTACCGGCCCGGGGGTGAGGGGGAAGGGGAGCCAGGTCACTCACACCTCTGGCTGTGGTGGCCTGCCTGCTGCAGCCCTCTCCTTCCTCGCCTGGCACGGCACACTCTTCGGGCACTTTCCCATCTGCCAAGGACCTGGCCCCAGCCACCATGTGGCTTCCTAACAATCAACTCCTCCAGAAGTCATTTCAGCTTCTCTAAACCCCCATACTGGCTTGGCTCAGGAGATTCACACTGGACTGCTCTCCCTTGGAGCCCTGCCTCCTTGACTCTCTTTTTGTTTCTCCCTGATGTCTTAAGAGGACAACTTAACCTCGCCCGGGTAGAACTCCTTGCGCCTTCCACTCCCAGCCATTCTCAGATTTCTTTTTTCGAGACTGTGGAGCTTGAATTCCAGGCCTGGGCGCATCGCTGAGCTCTTTCACTCAAGAACAGTACTCTACCACTTTGGGCGGCAACTGCACTTCTGGTTTTCTGATGGTTCCTTGGAGAGAAAGAGTCTCATGGTCGCCAGGCACCAGTGGCTCACGCCTGTAATCCTAGCTATTCAGAAGGCTGAGATCTGAGGCTCGCGGTTCACAGCCAGCCCGGGCAGGAAAGTCCGCGAGACTCTGATCTCCAATAAACCACTAGAAAAACGGAAGTGGTGCTGTGACTCAAGCGGTAGAGCGCTCGCCTTGAGCTGAAGAGAGCAGGGACAGCTCCCAAGCCCACAGTTCAAGCCCCACAACCAAAAAAAAAAAAAAAAAAAGGAGTCTCACAGTCATTCTTTCCTGCCCAGGTCGGCTGTGAACTGCAATCCTCAGGTCTCAGCCTCCTGAGCAGCCGACAGGCATAAGGCACCAGCTTGTGGCCAGAACCAGCCGTCCTGTCCGTGGGGAAGACGTCGGCTCAACTGACCCCCCAGCTCCCTACTATCCCCACAACACATGTAAACCTTCCCAGGAGCGGATGCCCATTGAGGTTTGAAGAATAAAGTGTGAGCACCCTCATGTTCTATGATGTAATGATACCCGCATTCCCACAACACAGGCAAGGCAAACCAGGTCTACACGCTCACATGCAATGTTTTAATGTTATGGGCAAGCAAGACAACAATAATGGGAGGCAAGGACGAATGCTTCTTTCCCCCATTTCTTTATGCCATGATCTCTTCTCGGCCGGGTCCCTTCCATCTGCAAGGGAGATAAGCTACTGTGCTGCTTTTGTTCCACACCCCGAGAGTACACAGATTCCCAATGGGCTGAACAGTGAGCAAGACTCACTCCGCCCTCAAAGTACAGCCACAGCAATCAACACGAGACTACTGCCGTCCGTGACCTCCAAGGAGGAAGCTGGATAGCGCTGCCATTGAAAAGGACAGCTGAAACAAAGGTCAACTTGAACATCACCCCAATAGGTGTACCCCATGAATTCCCAAACCCAGACTGGAGCCACACAACAGACAAGGTGGACTCCTCTGTCCAAACTGAAAAGCAAACAATGGGCCTCATGTGACACCAGGCAGGGACAGACTACTGCCTGTGGCCCTGACCCCTGGCACCCCCCTGTCCCACTGGTCCCCCACCCCCCTCCGCGGAAGGTCACCTAGCCCTGGCCACCATTCATTGCTGGGTGGCCTCTCTCTCCTTCCTCAGAGCCTCTTTGTACAGGGATGAGAAGGAGCTGGGATCGCGCCCGCTGAAATTCACCCACTGCTCCAGCACCTTCATCTTGCTGGTTTCTGCCAGGGCCCTCGGGCCCCACTGGTACACATAGCGAGCGGGATCACTGTTGGGCACGTGCCGGTACTCCAGGTACTGCTCCTGCACAAAATCTTCCACAAGCTTCCTGGGGTCCCCGTAGGTGTAGTGCTCCCTGCCCGGACACACCCCCATCTTACTCAGCGCCTCCCAGAGCACCTCGTCAGAGACGTGGTTGCCCTCCCTGAAGACAATGCACAGGACCATGATCAGGAAGCCAGTCTTGGGCACGCCCTGGACATCACTCAGCAGCCCATCATACGTGAGCCCCAGGGACGTGGCCAGCACGTAGGCATCTTCGCCGGGCGCCACTTCCTTCAGCTCAATGCCAAAGACCAGCAGCATGCACTCACAGGCCGTCTTGAAGATCATAGGGAAGAACTCCTGGTGCTCTCTGCTGACAAGGTTCAGAAGCTCCCCTCTGCTGGTTGGCTCCTTCAGGTGGTACTTGCGGAGCAGGAAGGGCACCAGGGCCAGGCCATCTTCCAGCAAGGATTTGGGGTCTACCCGGTCGGCCCAGGGGAACAGACGAGGAATCGCCACGAAGCTTCTGGTGCCCTGATTGACTTGGTTCCACGGAGCACAGACCAAGCCGGTGCGGGGAAGGCAAGCGCTCTGAGGACCAAGGCAGGATGGTGCCAAGCCGGTGCGGGGAAGGCAAGCGCTCTGAGGACCAAGGCAGGATGGTGCCAAGCCGGTGCGGGAAAGGCAAGCGCTCTGAGGACCAAGGCAGGATGGTGCCAAGCTGGTGCGGGAAAGGCAATCGCTCTGAGGGGCAAGGCAGGATGGTGCCAAGCCGGTGCGGGGAAGGCAAGCGCTCTGAAGACCAAGGCAGTGTGGTCCCCAAGCAACAGGCTCCTCCCTTGGGGTGGGGGGCAGCACTGCAGTGGGGAGGGAAAAAGAGGCGGTGGCTCTGGCCTCCTCCTGCTCCCCACGCTGTGCCTCCTCGGACGGGGCCCGGAGCACGTCACAGGTGGCGGCAGTGGCCATCGCCTCCGCCGCAACCACAGAGACCAGGCCAGCCACCAGGTCGTGCCCCTCCCTTGGCGTCTGGGGGCCTTCCTCACCCTTCCCGCGCTGGCTCTTGGGAACGTAGGGCATTGTGGCCCTCATTGGACACGGCAGGCAGGAAGAAGCGTGGAAAGCCTGGGTAGAGGGGGAGGAGACGGTGAGCGGCCTCAGCCGACAAGGGCGCCCCCAGCACCTCCCACAAGGTCAATGACAAGAAGGCCAAGCACAAGGTGGCGGCCGGTCCTGTGTTGGCAGTGCGCCTGTCTGCTGGAAGCCTGAGGAAGGACGTGGGGTGGTGCCTCGGGGTCCCAGCAGCTCTGAGCACGTTGCTCTGGCGCTGCGCTGTCTCCTTCGGCCCTGACACCACCCGAGTGTCGTCCCCACTGTGGCCAGAGGACCCCTCCTCCCAGCAAGCTCTTCTAACTCCTGGCCCCTGAAGCTCATGGCAGAGGCACTGAGATACCTTCCGTGCCACCCCACCTTCCGCACGCCCAAGTCTGCAAGCCCACCACTGCGCAGCCCCTCGACGGGATGGGTGGGCTCTACTGTGCAACGGTCTCCTCTGTCCCGGACTGAGCACCCCTTCCGGGCTCACTCTAGGTTCCCAAATGTCCCCTGGAACTGACTGGCCCCACATCTCCCCTGTGCTGGCCTGAGGCCAACCCCGAGAACAAGGGCCACCCCTGGAGAAGGACACAAATCGCAGGGAGAGGCCTCACGTGGGGCAGCACCTGTCTAGGGATCGAAAGCAAGACCAGGCCAAACTCAGGTAGGGGCGTGATGGGGATGGGGACCCTGTCTCCCTGCTCGTCCTGAGAAAACGTCAAGAGCCAGACCTGTCCCCTCTGATGCCCTGAGCACGCTTTCTTCAAGCCCTTGACCACGAGACACACAGTGGAAGAGTTGCTGAGGGGAAGACGGTCCACCCACAGTCACAAGGTTTCCTCGCTCCTCACCTTGGCTCTTGGCAGGCAGATGCTGGCCAGCTCCCTCGGCTCTCCCGATGTCTCCTCTCACTGCAAGGCCTCTGGCTTTCCCAAACCTGGGAGACACAGGAAAGGACAGACTACACTCCGGAAGCTCAGCAGGTGTTTTCCCGACCTTCACCAGTAACCCTCAAAGTGTCCTCAAAGTTCCCACCTTTACTTCTCTCCAGGCCTCGGGCCTTCTCCTCTAGGGAGCCACACATGTGGCTTGCATGTTCAGGCCATCGTCTCCCTGCTTCTTGCCCTCACCTAGTGCAGGAAACTGGCCACAGCATCTGATTCCCACAGTCCTGCCTGCAGCTACCATGGGCTGACAGGAAGGGCAGTTTTCCCATGTTTGGAACAGGGGTCTTTTGATTCCTCCCCCATCCCCATGGTCTCCAGAAGGCTCTGCAGAAGTTGCTCAGAGTGGAAGAGATCTCCCAGACCACAAACACACCAGTCTACTCCTCTCACAGACTATTGCGAGGGAAACCTGGACCCTGGTTTCTATTGCTGGCAGTCAGATCATGAGGCCGATAAATCTTTCTCACTGCCACTACTAGTAGCACCCTCTGTTGTCTTACAAAGGAGACAGGCCCTGTGTCATCCACTCTCCACCTCTTCCTTGGACTCTCATGCTGCTCCTCTTCAAGCAAAAGGCCTTAAACCACAGCTCCCTTGTTCGCCTCCTCTAAATAGAGTGATGAGCTATTGATACTGCAAAGAAAATGGCCGGACTCTGAGAAAACTCAAGTCAGGGCCTACATTAGAGGGAAGGAGGATGTGTCCCAGTAAAACAAAAGCATTCAGTGATATTGTGTGTGGGGTCCGGTCCCCACACAGAGCGTGGTCTCCTACCCCCCCTCCCCCGATTCCAAGGGACACAATGGTATCATCAGCATTTCCCAGCAGAGGGTCTCACGAGACATGCCCCATCAAGCAGGAGCCAGAGAGAGCTTCCTTGTAGCTGGAACACAAGAAGCACCCCTCAGAAGGCCCACATCTAAATTCCCACAGCATCAGCTATTAATGTGGATATTTAACCTTTACACGAAAGAGAAAGTTCTATTCGATATTCAAAATTCTAATAGATCTTCAAAACTATTTTGGCAACGGCATTCATTTCCCACTTGGGATATTTTGGAGGACAATTTATACATTCCATTTCACTTCCATGTATACCAAATAACATTCTCCTGTGTGGCGAAAAGCATGATGATTTAGGTGTGAATCAAGACAGCTTTTTACTTTTTGCAAACTTTCATCTAAATATCCACCCTGCAAACACAAAACATCACTTCAGGAGAACACCGCATCTACTTCCTTCAATAGCTCCAAAGGCATGCAGAGCCCTGCAAATCACATAATCTTGATTTTGAAGGGGGCATTTTAAAATAAAGTAGTTGTACTCACAGTTGGTCTCCATTGAGCCCACTCTCAGGAACACAGCAAGTCACTGATTTCAAAACACATTTTTTTTCCTCATGGTCATTCCCAAGGGCTGAAATCCTAGTCTCTCATGGCTATCACTGTACCAGTAGAGTCATTCCTCCCCTTCTGGCTTTCGGCTAGTTCCATGGAGGTAGGAGTATAGGAAATCTGTCTGCCCAGGCTGGCTTAGAACCTTCTTTCTCAGCTATCCCCCTCCTGAGTGGCTAGGGTAATGGCAGGCATGAGCACCAGCACCCAGCATAGCACAGCTTTTTCTTTCCTTGGGTTTTTGCTTTTGTTGTTTTTATATGCTGATCCTAGGGCTTGAACTCAGGGCCTTGCAGTTTCACTTTGCTTTTTGCTGTCAAGGCTGGTACTGTTCCACTTGAGCCATAGCTCTGCTTCTGGCTTTTTGCTGGTAAATTATAGATAAGATTGTTATGGGCTTGTCTGTCTGAGGTTCCCTTTGAAATGCGGAGGATTCTAAATAGCTGGGATTACAATCTTCTTCTGATTGTTTATGTTTCCCTGTATCTGAAGAACCGCCACACTGGGCCAAGTAGAGGTGATTTTTAGTTAAATTTGAACAAATCCGCCGACAAAACTCAAGGAGAATACAGAAGAGCAACAAAGAGTGCTCTCAGAAAATACAAATAAACACCTAAATGAATAGAAAGGTCAACAGGAGTCATGCAAAAGGAACACAAGAAAGATTCAGAAGTTCTGGAGGAAACAAGACATAGCTAAAATCCTAGAGAGGAAAAAATGCGCTTAAAAGCCTCTCCAGCAGAGGAGATGAAGTGGAAGTCAGACTCTCAGAACTTCCACATGAATGGGACAGTACACAATTCTTTTTGAAGGCAGACATAAAAGAATGGTGAAATGCCTAAGTTCTCCAGTACAGAATTAAAAGACCTAATGTACGAATGATGGGCATAGAAGAAGGAGAAGTGTCAGCTAACAGCATAGGGAACGTTTCCATTAATAGCTGAAAACTTGCCAAATCTTGAGATAGAAGAAACCATCCAGGTATAAGCTGCCTTTAGCGCTCCAAATAGACAAGACCACATGAGAGCCACCGCACAGCTGGCTCTATTGAAACAGGAAGTCCAAAGCACACAGAGTAAAATAGTACTTCCAAGAGAAAAAAAAAACCCATGTTACTAAATAATGCAGGCCCACAAGGGTAACAGCAAAGTCTACACAGAATCTTTCCAAACAAGGCAGGATTAGAGGCCTGCTGTATTAGAGGCCTGAACAACTGCTCACCCACATTATTTCACCCAGCCAGCAAAGATAACATTCATAACTGGGAAATATGAACAAACATCCATGGCAGGCAAAAACTAAAGCAAGTTCAGGACCATCTAACCAGCACTGCACAGTGTGCTCAAGGGGAGAAAATAAAGCTTATCGTGAATGGTAAAGAAGGTCAAAAAGTAGCAAAAAAGCAAATACCACAGAAACAAATAATGGCAGGCGTTACTCCATATCATATATTCAGCATTGACACTGAACAATACTGTCTTCAGTCCCTAGCCAAAAGAAATAGATTAGTGCACAGAACGGAAAAAGGAATCCCAAACCCCTGTACAGACCAAAATTACATCTCACAGACAAAAGCCAACACTGGGTTAGTATGGAAGGTTGGAAGAGAGATCTCCTAAGCACAGGTTATCTTAGAAATTTGTTATGTACTCCTATCTGTGCAAACATGTTACCCAAAGCAAAAGACTGAGTATGCATAACAATTCTCAAGATTTATGTGTCTATTGTCCTTGCCCCCAACTTCAGTTAACAAATGCTAAAGTTAAAAATATACCTAGACTCTTTCCCCCCCCACACACACCCAACACAATCATAGTGGCACATTGTGCAGCCAATCTCACCAAGAGAACGAACACCTATACCTCCGAAAGCATTTTTGAAGAAGGAACTTGTGAAAATTACATGTCATTAGAAGCCAAATTGTGAGGTCAGGTGTCTTCAAAGAAGTTTCTCCAGCAACTGCACAATACACATTCCTCTCAGCAGCCTGTGGAACTTTCTGCAAGGTGAATCAACTTGGAGGACCTCAAGTATGCCTTAGCGAATATAATATAGTTGCAATCACTGCCTGTATGCTTTGGACCATACTGGAACCAAAGGTGAACTCAACACCAAGACAAAGCCTAAGAGATGTCACTTGTAGGCAAAATGGGTGGAATTGGAGATCACCTGCTAAGACACATCAGCTGGTTCTGAAAGACAAAGGCTGTCTTGTTTGTGTGTCACGTGGAGAAGCTATGTCTAAACCATACACACGGGCGTAAACACGCAGAGGACCTCATCTAACTACAGAGGGAAAACATTTATAGCTTTCGGCCCGCCTGACCGCGTGGCCTGCTGCGCCAGCCATCTCAGCGTAAATGGCTTCCTTTCTTTGTGCGCATGTGTAGGGTGGGGTCTCATGGAGGCCTGAGAGGAGATCGCAGGGCTTGGCTTGCACCGGTGAAAAGGCAGACACAATCTCCACTTTCAGCTCCCATCTGGCCCTCCCGGACCTTTCCCGAGACTAGGCGGATGCCTAGATGCACATCCTGGCCGACCTAAGGGGCCTGGGTGGGACCTAGGCCCAGGCCCATGGGATGCTGGGAACACGGCCTCAGGGAGCAGCCGCGGCCCACCTCGGGCTGCCAAGCACCCCAATCT